AAGATTTCCTAGTGCAAAAAGCAGGGATCAGGTCAGAAGTGGACATTCAACTGAAACACTAACCCGGTGCTCCTTTTCACCGGAGTTCAAAAAAAACATATCCCAGACGTGCTTAAGCGTCATTTTGGACCGCGATGCCACATGATCTTCTTCTCTGCATTCTGTAGCCAAAAATGCCGTGAGAGGAATTACGTTGTCCGTGACATTTCGCGTCTATTGCGGTTAATTGCACCGTAAAGTCAGTCGTTTCAGTGTTCACTATGTGTTTTAATAAAACAGCAGGAACCTAAAGACGAGCTCTTCCGTCTGCACTCTAACCCCTTTGAGGTGGGATGTCTACTGGAGAAGACGCAGAGGAAACGACAAAAACGCTGAGTCACTTCCCACACGCGGTTGGCAACAGCCCTGTAAACCCTCACAGAGCGGGGAAACCGTTCATCTAAAAGAAATCCTCCGTTAGTTTACATTTTGGATTTCAAAAATTATTCATGTATGTGAGCTCGTAACACATTTTTTTCAGATGCCTGGCACGCCCGTGATTTATGCGGGTTTTCTTAGCAAATTGGATGAGGATGAGCATGTTGAATTTAAGATGCATATGAAAAATGCTTCTTATGAATTTCCACAGAAATACGAAGGAGATATAATGGTTCGCCAAACGCAGCCCTTGAGTCAGTGAGTATTCAATAGCTCAAATCACAATTTTAGAGAATGCTTCAATTAAAAGCTGGAATCGATTGATCCATATCTGTGACTATTGCCTGTTTTCTGTGAGTTTGACTACTTATCCGTGGTGGCTGCTTTCAAACTTTGACGTCGGTCCTTCCGTCCGGTGCGTTGCGTGCGTGCGATGACGGCCCTAGCCACTTGTTCACAACACTGGATCATTGGATCACGTGCCAACGAGTGGCTAGGGCTGCCGTTGCAGGCACGCAACGCGCCGGACGGACGGACGGACGACTGAATCGTTGAACTCTAAAAGCATTCAGTCGCCTCTATCGTGAGTATCCAACAGATTCGAATATTTTTAGGAAAGCAACACTAATCTGTGATTGATTGGTTACAAGCAACGACCAATCATAGACACCCCGTGTACTTTTAATAAATCTGGCAATCGCTCAAGAACGAAAGCTCACCTTAGTTCAAAAAAAAAATCAACCCATATCTGTTTCATGCTTTCTTTCTGCAACTATGTAGTTTGCTATTTTGTGAATATTGACAGCTTGGTATTAGTGGTTTAGAGGCATGACGGTAAGAATGCAAACACCCCAAAACATTTGTTTCTGTGGCAGTTTTAGTCGTTCGCAAATAATGAAGTTTTACTTGGTCACGGTTTAATCACTGAGTTTAGAACTATCTGTGCGTTTCTGAACACAGAAGGTGGACGACTTTATATTGGTGTTGATGACATGGGAACAATTCGTGGAATTCTTATGAACAATGACATAGTTGGTTTTCTTTATAAAGCCAAATTTTTTTTNTTTTTTTTGAAAAATCCTAAAATTTTATAATTTGATCGCAATTCCATAAAAATTATGTCATCTACATGAAAGAAAATCGCTTGAAAGTTTTTGGCTAATTATCTTTCTCTCTTTTGAAAGAAAAAGGGAGAGACTGTCTTAGATGGTTCCATTTTCAATAGCGCTAATCAGAAGTCTTTTGAGGGCAATGATGATCCACCAGGAAATTACTTTGCATCTCATATCTACCCGGATAAAGTTGTTTTTTTTTTCCAAAACTTTGGTTTCTTTACTATCAGAGTTTGCTACCTTGCGTAGTATTCTGAGTTAGCGTCTTATTTGAAGGGTTCTGAAAGTGAAATGCTGAAAATTGTGAGCGTCTATAGAAGCCATGGACAGAACGCTGTTTGTGACGCTTGTTCCGGAAAAATACTGATCGAGAAGAGAACGCCTCACATCAAATCTAATGGCAATTTCTAAATTTTGTTTCTGATTTCATGTCCCCCCTCATTGTATCCCTTAATTTTTTCCCATTAAACGAGCCACATTATTACCAGCCACTTTTTCAAAAGTTATGGACATAATAATCGAGTTGAACAACCAAGTACATTCTAAATTTTTGATGTTGAGAAATATTCATTCAGAAAGACCACTACTTGGCGTCATTAAGCGAGTGTCTTTACCATTTCATCCCACCGGTTCCCCCTGAACTCATTCAAGGTGAGTCACCCTGACAGCACTAGATGTTGAACTATCTCAATGGTGTTCAATGTAAAAATGTACGTTTTTTCAGTAGGTTTCATCAGGGTGCACGAGTTGCACCGTTTCGATAAGCGACCAGACCCTGAATGGCCTACTGAGAAACCCACGGACTACGACGGTCCTTTTGTAGCGGATGTAAAATATGTGGTGAGTCAGAAGTCGACTAAATGAAAAATGATCAGACTCTTTTACAATGGTCGAGTTCGTTGACTATTTCGTTTTGAGAATACTTTTAAAGAGCTTTTATTCAATTATTTATCGGTCATAATATATCAGGTATCTGGTCTATGAATACCAATCACTTCGAAAAATGGATAGTTTTTTATGGCTGATATTTGAAGTAATCATTCAGTAATAATAAACTACATTATCATCTTTAGAACGTGATAAATACAATGAACCCATGTTCCAACGAAAATACTGGTTATATTAATCCACTATAAGGCTATGTTTGATGCATACTATCTGATAAAAGGTATTATTTAGTGTGACGAGGAACATTTCCTTGGATGGCAGAAGTGTCCATGTCAGATAGGTGTAAATGACAACATGAATCGATACTTGATAGTGGTGAAGGTAAAGATATTCTCGTTATTCTCAATTCTTTATAGTACTCCAAGATATTCTAATAAGAGTTTCAAATAAGAAATGGAATGAAGAAAGGAAAGTTCGTGCGCGATTCCCTGCTGTCACTCGGCTGCCGCGCTCTAGTTGAATTTATTGGTGATAAATTTGTATGTTTAGGTTTTGCCAGACCCCAAAAATGTGATCTATCGGAACGATGAGGGTCTTGTATTTTTTCGGCGACATGGTTCAAACAAAATGATACCGATAGCGGATCTGGTCACGTTTCATAACACTACCTATTTAGATGAGTGAGTTTTTCAGAAGTTGTTTAGTACGGAAATTTTTTCTCGAAAAAAAGAATTTTATCAAGGAAAAGGTATGAATGGTGTGACAAACGCGTAACTTTTGTTCGTAACTCTCAGAACACCTTTCCCTAAGGTTCTTTAAATAGGCCATTTGATCGGCGTGAGTCGACCTTTTTGTAGGACACTGCAGGGGATTACCATTGGTCGACATCTAATCACAGCTAAACAGCAAAATTTTTCATCATTCGGATAAGGGGAGCTCTTATGAGCCAGTGAAAAAGACTGAATTGCAGTGTAGTCGCTATCCCCGAAAAATCCATATGGTCGTCCCCTAAGCTGAGTGGTTGCTAGTAGGTATAACGACTCTCACCCCGTAAGTACCCCTCTTTCAGTACCCCGTGAGGAAGCGTTAGCGTCCAAATAGCGGTAGTAATTATTATGATTTCCTTATGGACGCTATTGGCGTATAACTGCTGAATTCACACAAAGTTATGCTAATCACCGCTGACGACTTGAATTGCAGTACCGAACAGAGACTTGGGCAGAGCCAGCAAGTCGAATCTGAAATCAGAAGTGATGTCAGTTCAGGCCGCATCAATCTGTTCGGCTTTTATTTTTCATTTCTGGATCCGATTAGACGTTTTTTCAACTTTAACTGAAATCAGGCTATAATTGAACTCCCGGGACTGTTGAGGTTGCAAGGGGTGCGAACTTTTGGGTTTGCACTCTTTTCCTTGGACGCAGCCTATCTTGCTTAATTCTTATTGAATTTAAATTTTACAATTCAGCACTTAGCAGTTTTTGCTGATCTGCTTTTGCAACCATTGTTGAACTGGTATACGGCTAGTAAGCTTCACATTAATTGAAGTTTTGTTTTTAATTGAAACTGATGACGCGTTTGCTTGACACATAGCCGAAAAATGGCAATGTTGCCCGTTAGTTTGCCGTCAATATTTATTTATCATTTGCTACAAACATTTCAATTTTTCCAGCATTTTGAGCTCTGTTAAAGGTGCTTGACGTTTGACTCAAGTATGTTATTGTTCGCAAGTTATTTTGTTTGCATTAATTAGCATATTATTTGTTTGCATTTATTTACAGCTTGCTTTTTTCTTTGTTGTCAGTATTTTTTTAAAGATAAATGAAAAATTTCCTATCCGAAGAATGGAAATGTATGATTTGGGTTGGAACGTCACGGTTTTATACTGTTTCACTATTTTTTCAGCTTTTTTGGGAAGCTTTGAAAGTGCAAAAATATATTATGAACATGAAAGTTAGTTATGAACGATAAGTGAAGGGGGAATAATAGTAAATATGTGTAAATGTCAAGAGTGTATCGTACCTTCAGCATGAAGCGGATTTGTCGTTTTGGTGAATACATAACTTTGACCCATTATAGTGCCGATATTGTAAAGGTTACCATCATGATCGCTATGAAAATGTGCCGTATAAGTATGCAGGCTTATTTTCGCGTGTTTACGAATATCCACCTACAAATAGAGTCATCGAATTAGTCATACTTGCTCAGACAAACTAGACCTCGCTGCCAGGGTCTAGTTCGTTAGCTGTGTCTGAAAAAGCAACTGAAAATGTGGGTCAATGCAGCGCGCGGTCGCGTAGCGGCCAATCCTAAGTGTCGGATTTGCCATTGGAGTGAAGAGAAAAACAAAAGAATGCTCATTACGAATATGATGTTAATCGAGACATGGCAGCTGCGCTGAGTGAAGTAGTGACCGCATTGCGACCGCGCGCTTTTATGTTCTTTAAATCGGACAGCTGTCTACGTGGATCGATTCGAAGAATCGAGCGGAAAGGTGTGCCATACATTACTTTTTCGAAGAAACAAACCTCATCAAGACAGTCAAGTGAATCGATATCGATTCGGACAAGCTTTGGAGACTCTGTCAAGGCATATATGCCATCACCTGCAGTGATAAAAGCCACACTAGTGTTATCAATACAACGTTTTTCTGGTATGAAGTATGAGAAGAGCCTGAAAATTTCCCGAAACTATTGATTCACCGTCTACTAGTTGATATTACTTTTGAAAAAAGGTAAGCGGTTCTTACCTCTGAAACAGTGTTTTACAAGGATCTGGGAATTCCACTGTACCAAATGAAGAACAGATTATTCTATTTGCTTTCATATTTCTTTTGTAGTCCTCACTTTCGAGATATCGGGCTGAATAATACATCTGAAATAAAAACAATTGATTGAAAAGGAATCTGAAAGATCAAAATGATAAGAATGTAATTATGAAGAGGATTAAAACAACTATTTCAGCAAAATAAAGAAAACATGAAAAAATGGTTATACAATACCTTCAAAACGAAAAAGAAATAGATAATCAGTGAAATAGTACAAAACTGAGATAGTCTGCATGTCTGCTTCCTTCAGATGGCTGCTTTCATAGTCCGCCGACCGGCCCGCGAGCGCGCGCGCCGAGCGGAGGCGGCGCTTGCCACTTGTTTATAAGCTGAATCGTGATCGATACCGCAGTCCAAGTAGTCCCCCGGCCGGCGGACTATGAATGCAGCCGATCATTCGCTGAGACTACCACTTTTCTGCGTCTCTACCCCACGAACCGAACTCACCTTTCCATCTTCAAAGTGATATCTTTGAATATACGCCATGCCATCAAACCAGTGTTTATACTCTGTATCACCAATTTTAAACATTCCCGGCCCATTACGGACCATTGTACCATGGAGCCATGATGGAATGTTACCTGAACTGCTTGAACTCCGTAAGGGAATTAAACAGAAAACCTCCAAGTTTCGGATGTTCCGTTGAGACAACGATGTCTCGACGAAGAAAATTTTCCGACTGGCTTCTGAATGAGCTAGGCATTGAACTCAAGCGAACGATTAATACAGAGTAGACCGGCTCAGTAGTCCACATTGAGTTTTGCAAATACATAAAATCTTTAATAGGTGTAATGCATTGAAAACTTGCAGTAAAAAACAACCGTAGACTGCAAAGTGTGACAGCGAGGCAGAAAACCATGAACCGCGCCGCGATCGCGTGCATCACTAGGGGGCGATTTGCGGGTTGGTAGCTCAGTCACTTTCCGAGATGCAATTGATATTTAGAATATCCTTCCTTTAGAATATATAAAGCGCTCTGTCTGTCTGCCTGTTTGTTTGTTTATTTGTTTGTTTGTTTGTTTGTTTGTACGGAAATTCGATATAACCTGAAGAAACACCTGGAGAAGTCGGGTCAAGTTTGGAATGGGTTGAGCATAGGGTAAGTGCAACAGAGCACATGTGAGCCTAGCGGAGCTCCGCCCTCAAGGGGCGGGGCATGCGTCGGAATTGGGCGGGGTCATGGGCGAATTCTTCTAATTCGGTCTCATAATGTTCCAGACACCGGGAAAAATGTGCATAGGTGAGGGATGGGTCAACAATCAAAATAAAGGAAACTTACCGACGGTGGGCGGAGCGTTTTCGCGGTGGGCGGTACTTTACGCAGAGATTCATAACTCGATTTAACGAAGGCGTCGAGGACAGGGAAAAAAATAAAAAGAGTGAGCAAGGCCTTATGCGTGCTGGGCATGCATAAGTATAGCGAAGCCCCGCCCACGAGGGGCGGGGCGTGCGTTTAGGTGAAAGCTACTTTTAAAAAACTAGTGTAAATTCGTTCGGAAAAGTTATAGAATGCGGAAAAAAAGTGGTTAGAGGTAATGGGACAAATGTGGTCAAATCCCGAAAGTGAGCGGGGTTGGCACCAAAGTGGGCGGGGCTTAGATCAAAAATTTATAACTCTATTCAGAAACGTGCTGGGATGCGGCAAAAAAGAACAAATGTGGCCAGATCCCGAAAGTGGGCGGGGCTTACATCAAAACTTTATAGCTCTGTTCAGAAACGTTCTAGAGTGCGGGAAAGAGGTGTTAAGGTGTAAAAGAACAAATGTGGTCAGATCCCTAAAGTGGGCGGGGCTTAGATCAAAATTTCATAACTCTGTTCAGAAACGTTCTAGAACGCGGGACAAAAGTGGTAAGAGGAATTGGGACAAATGTAGTTAAGTCCTCGCAGGGGGCGGAACTGGCACATGGAAGCGGGGCTAGGACCAAATATTCATCTCTTCGAAAACTTTCTGGAATGCGGAAAAATGGTTTGGAGCAGTCAAAAGAAGGGTGGTCACGTTTATTGTGGAAAGGGTTTGCACTAAGGTGGACGGAGCTATGATCAACCACTAATAGCTGTGCACAAATATATCGAGCGTGATGCTATCAGCAGTTCAGCGTTCAAATTTATAAGAACTATCTTATTCTGATTATCCAACATTCCGCTGAATGACTCCATCGTGGATAAGTGGCCATCGACATATACTGCGCGCGTTAGCGTGCATAGCCAAACTGGTAATTCGATATGGGAATATAGAATGAATTTTCCAGAGGAAGCTTTCTTCACAACTTTGTTGTAGAAATAAGTTTTTCAAGTTTTCAGTAAGACACCTATCATCAGAGAGTTCATGATATCCTATAAGACATTTTATTTATTACCCATATCAAAAACCCACCAATCATTTGGCATTCTTGTGGCGTAGCGGCGTTCTCGAAGTTTTCGAACAAATGTTTATAACTCATTCTGAAAAAAAAACTCCAGTAACAACAGATTTTCATCAATCATACGTTTCGTACATGGCTGTCTGATCAGATATGGAGAGTAAAATAAATTATGATTATGACACGGAAAATTGGAAGATTCTATGAAATAGGCAGAAATACACAGAAGCGATTGCTTTGTGTGAGTGTGAACGCGTTGGATGCGCCATGCATCTGACACATTTTCGGATTGTCTTGCCGAATGAATGAGTGTAGGACATATAAGTTACGCTTGATCCCGGTTTCAGCTCTCTATTTGCATCACAACTGTGGATCAAACTTATCAACTCTGATTGGATGGAAAACCTAGTTAGCCTATAAAGGATTTGACCCGATGGCTGGTGAGAGTGCAAAAAGAGGAATCATGACATTACGCCATCTCTACCGTAGCAATCTTGATGTGCATGCGATATTGTTAAGGTATGTTGTTGCCAAAACAACAACATCGAAGTTTGTAATTGAAAACACATGATAAAGAGCTCTATCTATAGAGGAACTGGTATTTGCTCAGGTTGATAGCACTCCACAATTAATTGCTGCCACTGTAGGAATGGATTGAAAAAATTAGAAAGAATTTTGATTCTAACAGCCTTTGCAAGGCACAGACGGCAGTAATTTTTTACAGAGACGATAACTACCACCATTTGTCATGAAAGTGTAAACTAACACTATATCAAGCAATGTATTATGATTATTGGTATAAAGTAACCTTGAAATCAAATTTCCTGTTCCGTTTGAGAAGTTTGGTAGCACTATGGCCTTGCAGACTGAAGTTCTCATGTGAAACAAAAACATGTAAACAAGTAAACAGCCCACAAATACATTGGTATAAGAGTTTAGAGGCTGTGGAGAATGTATGGAAGAATAAAGGGGACTAGGTGATTGCCTAGCGATAAAAATGAAACTCTTCCAAGATTAGGTTGCTGTAAAAATCGATAAAAACCAATGGAATTCCTCGAAAATCGACTAATTTACCAATTTTTTTTTGGAAAATAATAGTCGACTTCGACAACAGAAGGCCACCTCTACAAAACGTTTTTGTTCCTGGTATATAAGTGAACCTATACTTTCTTAAGCCCAATAGTAGTTCAAAAGTAAACGATAGTAACTGGTAACTATGCTATCTTATCGGAACCCAACGACATTGTGAACGATACGAACGAAAAGAAACAATCTGCAGTTTTCAGGGTCAAAAGACGACAGGAAAGTGTATTGGAGCGATCGGCAAGGAAGTTTTGTTTACTGGCCACCCGCTCAGTCAATCGTGGGGTATTGACTATGCCGTAGTCAAACGGCCAAAGGTCGTAGAGATCATGCAGACCCTTCGTTCGACAAAAAATTACTAAAATCAAATTTCCAACCTAATTCTTTTCCAAATACTTTTCAGCTGTTGATGAAAGGAACCTGAGGAAAACGACTTCATTTGCAATAAAATAATTCCAGTACTGGAAACCCAGAGAATAATTTTTTTTCTGAAATAAAAGGGTCGACACCTTTTATGCAGCCAGAAAACTAGTAGACTTTTAAATTCGTTCCAGAAACTTAATGGAAAGAAAAAGAATAAAAGTTACGGTAGCCTACTAGGATTTCATTTGCTACGAGCTAGGCTAACTAGGGTGATCCTGACGCAGTCCCCGATAGTACAGAGTATGCCTGACTCTTCACGGATTTCGCCAAACAACTAGCCTGCTCTCGAACTCTCAGAGTCTTCTTGAACTTTAGCTTGAGTTTCTTACACCTTTACAGACGGTCGATGCGATCTCGTCAGTTTCACCAGTTTCCGTCTTCCAAAAGGGGTCCAGGAAAAACTAGTAGACCAAATAAGAGCGCGAGGCAGTTTTCATCAAGATGTCTCACTTTTCAACATGATTAACTAGGTCATGCTGGCTAGTTGTCTTGTCGCAGGTACACCATTTGGAACTAGGGACCTATAGCGATACCCGCCTTTTCAAACTTATAATCCACTGGCTTTGTAAAGTCTTTGTGGAATCTATAGGCACCATACTAAGTAAGAAAGATAAAAGAATTATTTCATGGCAGAATGTCAAGCAACTTTTCTGACGTAGCTACATTTCACGAATTTATCCTAGCGGGATATCTCATAAGCCATTTTTATCATGAACTCTGCCTTTAAATGGAGGAAAAAAATACTGCAGACGAATATCTGCATTCGTTGATTGTGGAACTGGAATGAAATGAAGAAAATCTACGAGTCTAGTCTAGTCTACGAATAGGTTGCATCATATCAGCGTTACTGCGTCACCGTCGCAGAGACCACCCAAGTGTCTACTCTGCAAATCGACTGATAAGTCCAGCATGAGATTAAAAATCGACCAAATTGACTAGGTACAATACCCATACTGGGGGATGGTTGGAATTTAATTCATGAATGATTTTCCTGTGGACAATGTAGTTGTGCATTGACGAACAGTCCTCCCACAGGTCCCAAACGAGGGCCTAGTTCGAGAACATGGTTGTTTACGGTCTTGTTTGCGGTTGTTTACTTATTTATTTACCTCTTCGTGCACTTAGAGGACCTCAAACAAATGCATTGGTGAGCTTACGCGAGTAAAAACATAGAGTGTCAAACGAATAGGACAGCTGTGGCTCTCAGATCATATCATACCAAACGTCGGTTCTGTCGCTGGCTTATTTATTTATTTGTTTAATTATTTGCCTACATATCCAATGAAGGCCCCAATTAGTTTCCTATTCATTTATGCGCCTAGTAGGCATGCCAAACAAACAAATGCTAAGATAGTGAGATGCTAATCAGACAAGCCAACCATCAGCGCAACAATCCCGTTGAAGAACACTTAGATGAGCAATAGGGGCCGTACTCGATCGGGTACGGGACGCGCCCTGCATTCGGCTTGCATTCAGAATCACAGTGGCTTTTGAATGTGTATGTGACCAGGACAATCTTGCAGTGGCTAGCCGTCGGTAAGTTCAGTGCTTCTTACCCTTTCAGACTTAATCGGGTAGCGATCAACCGACCTAGGAAGGATGGAAGGCTCAGTTGGCTTGGGCGAGTATCAACTCAGGATTCGATTCCCGGACCATACTTGTGTAATATGTAGTGCCCTACATGCCACTACTCACCTCCCCAACAAATGGAACTCATATCCAATATTCAGTCTTGAATATAAGCCTAATGCATGCCTATGTGGGTGGGTGGGTATGGGTACAAAGAAAGAGTTCATTAATGCTGGAAGCCGCATCGCTTTTCTTTACCCGCTAAGTACATGGAAAAAGTAACGCATTAACTTCTGCGCAGTCTTGATGAGTCTTCTTTAGGATTTATTGCAGAAGTAGATTTATTAAGCTAATATATCAACTTCAGAAGAAGATGGGGCAATCGTATCTAAAGCCATTACCCCCCTCCTTTTTTGGTGATAGATTCCCTTTGGCCGAGTTTTCAACTTTGAAATACTGTTGGCCTACACAAGACCTTTACTCGTCCGGGAGAATAAAAACAGACCTAGGAGGTAGGTGTGAAAAGTTTCTTTCGGTAAAAACACAGTGGAATACTCATCAGACGGAATACGCATTCGTACGTAACACGATTCTGAGTGGAAATCTAACGCATGGCTCATTCCATGGAAATTTATTACCACAATTATTTTTGGATATTTTTGTTTCTACCTACACATAAACGCGTACTATGAGTTCCAATCATACGTTTTGATTTCATTCTATGCTCGAATACCATGAACTTGCCTTTCGGGCTCTCCTTCATACTCCTCATTGTAGCTGAGGAACTTACCTAGTAATGCTTTCGGACTCGAAGCCCTTCTATTTTCTTCGAAAAACATATTCAGTTCTCATTCCAGCAGGACTTGGAAATAGAAGGCTCTACGACTGTCATCACATCCGTTCGTTGTTTATTTTTTACCTAGACAAAGTAAACATGTAGCTATAGTATGATTTCCTTTGACAATATATTTTCGATA